ATTTTCCGCTTGTTCGATATGTGTTCCTTGGCCAGGGATTCTCCACTTACACCAAAACTTAAAAAAGTGGAGACAAGCTTGATTGTTATTGTTCATAGGGAGCAATAACATCATCATTCCTTATTCCAAAAATTTAGAGTCAGGGTTATGAATCATTAATCTCTAATGATTACAAACTAAGTGTTGCATATTGTTGAAACTTTATTGTGTGCAAAACTTTTGCCATAAACTTATAGCTATGTTACCCTTAATCAACCTCTTTTTCCTCCACATAGTCCTACATTAATTTTGTCACCTATCTTACCGGTTCACCATCTATCATTCATTTCATGAGCCAAATTCAATAATTTTTTTCACTGTTTTATATTTAATAGGTATACTAACACTATACAACTTTATAACACCATCTTAACATTCTCATTCTTCCAAACTCAATTTGATTATCAATGATTTCTTTATAATCCCACTCCCTAATCGATAGAGCATAGCTATTAAGGAATGATTATCGAATGATTCCATAGATTCATATGGAAGGTATATCTATAAACTTAAGATAGCTAAATGTCCTATTACTTACTTGAAGAGCTTCACCCACGACAAATAAGAAAATAAATAAACAAAAAAATCAGTGATTACAACAACTTGATCTGAAATCACCCTAAAGCTTTGAATTGATTGGAGTTGGAGTATTGGAAAAAAGGGTTAATGATTTTGGAGAAAATATAGCATGGAAAGATTTTTCTTCTGTAATTGGTCAGATCATCAAAAGGCCTAGTTGCTCATCAACATCTTGAAAATATTTTTCTTAACCATCATGTACATTAGTAAGGAGAATGAAGCATTAAAGAGTTGCACTATTGATAAAATTGAACTGACTTCCCAACCTTTTATAAGGAAAAAAATGTGTAATTAATTACCCATGTTCTTGCAAAACCAAAGGTAAGTAGAGTTACTCTACTTCTATCCAATGTGGATGCAAGCCACTATTCCGATCTTTTGTGGTAAAAGCGTCTCAAAAAGTACTGCAAAACCATGATGTAATGAAAATAATGAAAGAATGATACGGCGAAGAATGATGCAGAACTGAGAAATTAAACCAATTTATTGAATAGTTTAGATGGAACTCAAAGGCTAATTACTATACCTGAATGTTTTATTTGCGGTTTTCTATAATGCATACAAGGCAACAAGAATATGAAGTCTTTGTAATAGGTCTTGAAATTTGAAATGTGTGCCGCTAGGGCTGCCTCATCTTGCCTACAAGTCATGGGAATTGCTTCATGATTGATTTGTCCATGCAAACCGAATCTAACTTATTAAACCTAAATATTGTGTATGTATATGAAATGAACCAAATGACTCAATTTGGTTCAAGAATCAACTATTGAAATTGTAAACTTAGTTAGCATACACTTATTCCATATTTCCATCTAAACAATCACTTAAAGTAGAGCTCAATTGAAGGTATTATCACTATTATTTTCCTTTAAGTCCTCAACATATATAAATAGAATCATCATCGGCGAAGTCTTGGCATCAAAGTTTTCTCCCCAAAATAATTCAAAAGAGAAAGGGAGAGAGAGAGAGAGAGAGAGAATAAACAACACATTGGCTATCTTTTGATCTTAAATAGGAGAGGCTGAGTGATATCAATGAACAATTCGTGTACCATTAAGCATCTCACTTTCAATTCAATCAATAAAGTTCAATTTATTCATCCTGGGGTTTCAAGTAAATAACCTTTTATGCTACCTAAATCATAGTTCTCAAAAGCTTCAAGCAACCTCAAGGTGACGGGGCTATCCAACACCTAAGACACTAGGCATCAGTGCATTACCTTAGGCACTTGCTCAAGTACCATGGCATGCTAATTTTTCATAGTGTAAAACTAGAATCATCACATTAAACTATATGGGAAATATAATGAATTTTCAAGTTTCAATGCATTCCAACGTCCTAAAACTTGCAAAATACATCATCTTAAGAACAATAAAATTAGTTAAGTTTTTAACATGTGTAGCACAAGGATAATCAAATCTTCACTATGTATTCCATTTTTCTCATCATCAATACTCTTCTATCCATTATTGGATTTTGATCTCTCCATCTTTTCTTCTATCTCCACAAATTCTTTCTCTTCATCCGTGAGATATTAACTTTAGAATTTGAAGTTGTTGCACCTAGTTGTAGGTTTGTAAACAAACCGAATTGAACCGAGCTGATAATGTTCATGTCCATGTTTATGTTCATTTATTATAAGTTTGTTCATGTTCATTCAAGCTCGATTCGATCTTTCATATTCGTGTTCAAGCTTGGTTCGTTTAAGTTGATAAATAATCATGTTTGGTTCATGTTCGATTAGTTTCGTGCTTATCAAGCTTTAAACAAACATGTTCACGAACAAGCTTTATCGAGCCTACTAACAAACATATTCGCAAAAATTTCTATCGATTGTTTCAAACTATCAAACGAGAATGTTTGTGAACATATATAGTGATTTTTTTTAGTTACCAAACGGGCCTATTCGCGAGCATATCTAATAAGGGTTTTAGAACTATCAAACAAATTTGTACACGAACACATCTAGAGAGTATTTTTGAACTACCAAACGAGCTTGTTCACAAACAAACGAGCTATAATTCTTCTTATAAAAAAACTTGTTCTAGAATAACTTATTATTATATTTTTAAATTATAATAAACATAAAATATTTATATTAGATTTATTAAATTTTCGTATCAAATACAAATCGAGCTTCTTATCGAGCTTCATATCAAGCATGTCACGAGCTTACAACAATATTGTTCATGACCATAAACGAACCGAACACATAGTTGTTCAAGTTTGTTATTATAACAACGAGTATTTAAAAAAAAGTTCAAGCTTATTTGATTATTTAATTAAATGATCACGAAAGAGCTTAGATCGAGCCGAGCCTCAAGTAAATTGTCGAACGCTCAGTTCATTTATAGCCCTACCTAGTTGATCTAACTTTTTCCCCAATGCACATCAATATTTCTCCAATTCTAAATGCTCTATTGAAATCAGTTCATATCACATTATAATGACCAAAAACAAAAGTATCTTCAATGTTTGAAATATTAGACACATCTTAACAATTAAAACACCTTACTAATGAAACTAGCTTGGGAGATGTGTCGCATGCCATGTCCTCGCCTCCTATCACTCCAACATCAAGGTGAAAACTAAAATTTCCTTTGAAAAAACTACTTTAAAGTCATCTCTAATGATTCCTCAATCTATATTTGAATTCTGCAAATTGTTGACAGCCTAACATAAACATTTGTTACTTCAAGAATTGTTAGTATCACTTTAAAGCTAACTATCTTGGCAAGCGTCTGGATGCCAAGTTTGAATTGGCCTAGTTTCAGTATATGACCCTCTAGTTACTCAATTCATCAACCTCAATTAAAATACTTTGCTTGATATGTATATTTATATATATATATATATATATATATGTGTGTGTGTGTGTGTGTGTGTGTGTGTGTGTGTTTCCCTTCTTGCTCACTGAATTGGCTCATTCTAGAAATACTTTCACCTTTTATCATATCATTACTCCCCATATTTATTTACTCAGTTCTATTTTAAGTTGCAAATAAAACCTAGAATGATGAATGGTGAAGGGAAAAACATATGCCAATATCAAGTCATTTGGATACAACTTACAATAATAACCATATTATGGTGCACACTGCACAATAGTTCTTCTCTTTCGAGCTAACTATTTTCTTACTCCATCTCAAATAAAAACTTCAACAAGTATCATAACAACTAGCTCATATGCTTGTGTAAAAAGTTTATATAATAAATGTTAAAAATTTATTAAAAAAAAAAAAACTAAAAAACAATCAATTTCATAGATGGTACACAAAAAGTCACAGAACTGTAGAAATTATCAATCTCTAATGAAAAGAAACAACTATAAAGAACTTCAGTTTAGATAATAATACGTCACTTGGTTTTCACTCACCATTTGCAAGTCCTTTTGGCTATGATAGCATGTTAAGGATACAACTAATATGGAAGAAAACAACATTTAAGGAAATTAATAAGGCTGAAACCTTGATAAATAATAATGATCATGTTAATAGTAAAAAAGGACTTCTAAAAATGAAAATATGCTTGCTGTATTTTTTATAAGCAAAAGGAAAATCAGATAAAACATATAGGCGAAGGAAAAATAATGCCCAACATAAAGTTTGTTAACATCCACATTCTCTATATAGCACCCCAAGATATTTGGCAAACACACAAATTAAAAGAGGCCTGTGATGATGGTAAGCTCTAAAGCTCTTCCAACCTCTAAAAACCCTAACTTGATTAAATGTGCATTTAGAAGAATAGAACATTTTTCACCAACTCCACTAGGTTCCATAAAATAGGGCACCAAAGTATGCAAACTTTAAATTCTAAACCATAACATTGCCCAAAATTTCCCTTTTTTCTCAAGCTAACAGATAAAGGATTCAAACCATTCACCGCTTCTTCAGAGGGTGATGTTAAATACCACACCATCGTGTGACCAGTGTTAACTAATGGATAAACATAAACAACAAGATTCAAATAGTGTCCACTAACTTTCTCTAGTTTCTGCAGGCCACCGATATAATCTAATCCATTACCTATATACATTACACATTAAAATACTGCCCTCTAACTTTCTCCAGTTTCTCCAGGCCACCGACACGATCCAACCCATTACCTGCTCAAATAGTGTCCTCTGGCTTTCTCTAGTTTCTCCAGGCCATAGATAAAATCCAAGTCATGCATAGAACAACTTTTCAATGAGTACAATGACGATGGAAAATCATCAATCACACATCAGTCTCCAGAAAGCTCTGAGTTGCTGTTCCATCCATATCATTCACCAATTTTTCTTTCCCAAAAGATACCATAAGTTCCTCAAAGCTAACCGAACTAACATACACTAAACAAAATATCATCAATTACCAAACAAAATAAAATGTGACGAGTACCTTCAATATCTGAACAGATAAAAAGCCCTTAACTGCTCTCCCGAACCACTTCCCCCAAAATATCAGCACCCTTCTGCAACCATTAACAGCAAAAAAAACCTAAAATTGAAAAACAAACACCAACTCAGTTGGAAAAATACCAATTCCTCCATAGAATGCAAGAAATAGCATAACAAATCAAAAGATGCAAACCAAAAGTAAATAATAACCCGACGAGAAACCTCGAAGAAGGGGAAACGAATCCGCACAACCGCCGATAGATACAGTCGATCACCGGCCAAAAATCGGAGGCGAAATCAGCGATCAGCAATATCGCTGATTTCGCCAAGATCCAACAAGAATATAGAAGAAGGAAACTGGGTATGAGTAATTCTCCACAAGGGCCGGATGAGATGAAGCAGACAGGAGAGAAAGAAGATGGAGGATTCTGGGAAAATTTTGGACAGAAACACTTAATTCATCGGATAAATAACGGGTGAGGCGACAACCAATGGTGAGGTGCACCGCACCCAGAGAGTGACCCACCGTACGGACGGCTTAGATTGAACGATCTAGCGGTTAGTCTTGAAGAACCGGGACCACCGCTACTTTCTGAGACCCAAAAAGTGACCCGGTCTTTTCAGTAGTAGGCAGCGGGCTTTGGCGGCAGGTCTTCTACTACAGCCCACGTTTGGACTGTATATGCGCGGAAGAGCAAATATATTAATAGAAATAAATTAGTATGTATTTTATACCATTATATTTCTTATACTATAAATATGAATTAACTAACCATATATTATACTTACCTAATACTAATAAAATTTTTAATTATGATCTAAATTTTTTTCATATTAATATTCGGCTCAACAAATATTTAATGCTTGTATTTATTTCTTTAATTTATTGAATCAAATTGGAGGTGCTCATGAATAAAAAATTTAATTAAAAGTTATATATAAATAATAGCTTATTAGGATAAAAAATTTTGTGTTATGATCAGTTGATGTAAGTGTACATCGAGTTTCGCTTTAAAGTTCTTAGATTTGCACTAAGATTAGTATTTTACATGATATCTTAAATTAAACTAATTTTAGCACAATTTTTTTCCTTGAACAACGTTTGTTTTACATAAATGAAAAGTACCCTCTTAGTTTTCTTATAGTTATAGAAAGAAATTACATTGTGATATTTTAATACAAATTATATTATTTTAGAATGGGCTTGAAAGTCATTGTGTTTGCTTTAAAATTATTGTAATACAAATTTCAAATGTAATACTAATTTTGAAGTAAATCCTAATAACCACCCCCATGATGATATGGACAATGGAATAATCCTTCCCACAAAGCAATCTTAGCCAACCATAGATAGCAACTAAGCCCAATCATAAATGTCCGAGGCTAACATATTCCTGGTGTATCTCAGTATTTATCTCCTCTATTATTTCAAAATTAGTGTAATGTGTCACGAAGGGTTTAACTAATGTGAATACCCTATTTCCCATATTTTGCTGCTTCTTTTAATTGTTATGTGATTTTGCAATGTTGCTTTAGTGCATTTCAACTTCATTATGGTATCAGAGTATTGTTTGCATTACTCAATCCCACTCGTAGGCTAATTTTATCAGGTTTCCTTCACATACTTAACATTTCTCATAATCTTATATCCATTAACAATCTTATTGTGAATAATAAATATTTTATTTCATTTAATGCCTATAGGTGTCACATAAAGGATCTGAAGAAAAATTGTACACTCTTTAAGGTTTATGTTAGAACGGTCTCTATTTCCTTTCTAAAGTCCAAACAACTCTTCATCTCATGACATTGGTGTCCATACCAATTATCTTAAATCTTTGGCATATAAGATTTGGGCATTTCCATGCTAACACATTTGCTCCGGTCTCTAAGCTAAACAAAACATTATGTATTCCCTCTTCTTTGTCTTTTTGCAAGTCATGTGATGTGGCTAAGGCCCACCATCTCTGCTTTACATTGTCTATAAACCAATCTTACAAACCTTTAGATTTACTTAACTCAAATGTATGGAAACTTTCCCCACTTTTATATACTAAAAGGTACAAATATTATGTGAGTTTCATTGATTGTTAGTCTCATTTCTCTTATGAATCCCATGCTTAATAAAGTTGATATCATATAAACACTTCATTTAACTCAAGAAAATGATTTAAACTTAATTTAAAACTTATATTAAAATCCTTCAAATCGATGGTGGCTAGGAATATTTCAGCTATAACTTTCAAAAACTACTATCTTCTCATGAAAGTATTCATAAAACAAGATGACCCTACACTCTATAACAAAATAGAGTGGTTGAATGTAAATATGATCATTGAATACTTGAGACCACTCACATTCTAATGCTTGAGGCAAATCTACCTTATGCGTTATGGCAAAACACACTCCTAATCTCAACCTATCTTATCAATTGCATGATGTCTCCAAGAACCAAAAAAATCTCATTATCACATTCTATATAGCAAAATATTATCCTATGACCAGCGTCACATTTTGGTTGTACTTGTTAGTTATGGATGCCACCCCAACACTATCATAAACTAGCTCCACAATCTACTTGATGCATGTTTTTGGGGTATAACAGTACACACAAAGGATGCACATTCTTTATTAGTTCATCAATTGAATCATTCTCTCCCACCACATTGTGCTTGGTGAAAATATATTTCCCTACTAAATTCTACTTACACCCTCTATCTCAACCTCAACAATCACTTGCATTACTCCCTTGGTCCTTAAACCTTACTAAAACTCAAGCACAATCCATATGCAACAACATACCTATCTTAGCTTATCCTTTGCTCCAACTATAGCATCTACTTCAATCTCTAAACAATACTTCCCATGGACTCCTCTACAACTACATCACATGATCACCATATCCCAAACGAGATCCCTCAAACCAAAAATAATGTTCTCTCTTCATCACTATCTCCTTACCAATCTCTTCCCCACATGTTATTCCCAAGCAAAAAAAAAAAATTTTTGCATCGGCATCTAGTCATGTTCATCAAGTTTCAAGCTCTATAAGGACTAGCTACTTAATTGGATTCTTGGCCCTCCATAGAGATGATATAACTCCCTTAAAGGTCGATGGACCTATAAACCAAGTCTCATGCAAATTGCACAATGACTACACATAAAGGAGACACTCAAGATGAACAAATAAAGTTTCATACAAAAGGCACAGCGGCCAAACATAAAGCTCGCATTGTTGTATAAAGTAATGGTGAAGAATATGAAGTATACTATATTGAAACTTGAAGTTATATGGAAAAAAAGCCAACAGTACACATTCTCTTACCGTTGCTCTCCAATATGGTTAGAAAGTGCTACAATTTGATGTGTTCGATGCTAATGCGGAGCATTTTTAGCTTATAATGCTCCTTAGATTATTTGATTTAGTTTGTTACAAGTTTTCTAGAATCTTCTAGAATTATCTATGCTTTTTTCTACTTGAGTAGTATATATGTGGAATGTGTAAGAGAAAGGAGGACATGATGAATATTATCTCTTTTTTGAAGCTTTAAGCTTGGTGTTATCTTTGTTCCGTGGATTGAGATTATCTTCCTTCAAGCATCCTCTTCTTCCAACGATCCAATCTATATCAAATGCCCTCTACCCAATAAACTCGATGTCATCTAAATGTGCTAATCACCCAGCTTCGCTGATTAACAATACCTCAATCATGTGTTCTTACTGAAAAAGACATCTACGGTTCAATTTTCAACTTCATGGGCATTCAAGTCACTCAAAGCCCCACAGGATTATGTTCTCACGCAAACACAATATGCATGAGACATTCTACATAATACAGTAAAGAAGGATTGTAAGTCCATTTCCACTCCTCTATCATCTACATGTTCAAACTTCTCTGCACCTAATCCACCTTTCTCTAATCTAACAACATACAAATAACTTATCGGATCACTTTGCACCTATCTCTTGAGTGCCACTATAAACAAGTCAAGCGCCTCCTTCGCTATGTCAAATAGGTTTCATGTTCATGAACATTTTGTATTAGACTCTCTAAATAAACGAATCAAACTCAAGAGAAGATTTTGGCAATGTTTTATTTAATATTGTACAGATTTCCTGCATTTCCACATGTCATTATCTGTGCAACTATTTGCTTACAATTGGTAAATTTAAAGTAGCAAAATTTTATTTGTTTTATAGTAGGCCCAATGTCAATGCTTTATGGTGCTGAATGTTGGCCATTAAAAGAGATGCATAATACTAAGTTAAAGTGTTGCAAAGATGAGGATGCTCAGGTGGATGAGTGGCTTTATCTTTAGAGATAGGATACGAAATGAGCATATACATGAAAAGGTTGGAGTAGCTCCAGTGGAAGATAAGATTAAAGAGAGTTGCCTTAGATGGTTTGGTCACATAAAACGGCGGCCTTCTGATGATCCGATTAGGAAAGTAGAGTTATTAGATTTGACTTATGTTAATAAATGTAGAGGTAGACCTTAAAAGACTTGGTTAGGAAATATTAGAAATGATCATTCTTTATTAGATGTAAACGAAAATTTGACTTTTAACATGACACAATGAAGAAAAATGATTCATGTAGTGAACTCCACGTAGTGGGACAAAGGTTTGATGTTGTTGTTGTTGTATAGTAGGCCCAAAGTTGACCCCACTGATTAAAGAACCATTTGAAGTCTAATGAATTGCATCTTTTTTCTTAAACCTGCTTCCACTACTACATCACGTTGTTCAAGCGTTGAAGTTGCGATTCTTAAGAAAGGTGTAAACTGTTCTTGGCCAGTTTTGTTGACCGTGAAGCTCACCACCTACTTCTCTATCTTATTGAAAATCGCAAACATAAAGCATTTTACTGTACTGTAATGCTTAATGCTACACAAAAATGACAATGGAGTTCCAAAACATCCGATCCTTGCAGATCTAAAAGAAGCAAATATATTTCATCATACTGAATCAAGCCAAATTTTATTGAAGATGAATAAAAACATGAATTAAACCAAATATTCAGACTGAAACAATTAAATTAAGTATCTCTGTATTCCAATACAGGATTTGAGTCTTTTGTGCAGGAAATTTAGGCTTCGTTTGGGACGGCTTTTTTACTGCTTTCTAAAACGGAGTTTTAGTACAAAATTTTTTATTTTTGTACTAAAACTCCGTTTTAGAAAGCAATAAAAAAGTCGTCCCAAATGAAGCCTTAAAAGTGTAACACTGGTGTCGTTCAAATACTCATCATCTGGCTCTTTGGTGGTATGGTAAGTGTTTCTTCGTGCTGCTTCGCAAGATAACCCATCCAACCTAAACAAAATAAGAAGGAAAAAATTATATTTTACAAAACAATAAATTTATTAGATTCTGCAGTTATCAATGAACATTAATTTTCAACTCTATTTATAAATTCAAAATCTTTTCGCAAAAAAACAGTCTTTCGATCGACAAGCAATGGAAAAAAAAGTTAAAGAATTTGATAGTTTTGCTTTGCCTTCATTAGTTTTGTTTGTGAAAATGAAATTATTACATTTGGGGATTCTGAAAGATCAAAACCTCTTATTGACTTGGAATTATTTACATCAATCAAATAACGAATCAATTAACTTAATCATTTCTAAAATGTTTTATAAATCCACAAGCAACCAAATGTCTCCACAAAAAAAAAAGGAATAAATAATTGGTTATGGTAGTTACCAAGAGCAGGGTCAATTCCTCTTCTTTTAAGCTCTCTGAATTCTTGGCATAAAGAACAGAAAGGACAAAAGAAATGTAGAATACAGTCCTCAGCTGGAGCCTGGACCAAGCTATACTTTTTCCTCAATTTTTTTCTGTAGATTGAAGCCACAATCCAACAACTACAGAGAGCAGGAACCAGAAGCATGTACATCAAACTTCCCAAAGTGCAACCTTCCATTAAAATTAATGAAGATATTAGGAAGAGAAAATGCATTGCATCAATGAAATATTGTTGTTTATAAAAAGGAATGCAAATAATAAAATTTGTATTTTTCTTACTGGTTTGGCCCTCGTCGACAATTTCAGCAATATGGCCAAAGGTTACACAGGGGCATAAGGCTGTCATGGTGGCTGCAGCAAAAGAAGATTGATCAGATTATCCATGACATACAACATCAAAGTGTACTCAATATTTTATTTACAGTTTTAAAAATCATTACCATTTGTTCCATCCAATCCACAATCATAGATTGTGGACGTCCAAGGTCGTCCGATCTGTGCCATCCTCTGCCGCCTCCCCGGCGGCGAGGGCAGCTGCATCTTTGGTTGAAAAGAATCAGAAGAGTTAGCCACTGGGTTCACAGTGGCCTCAGGTGGATGATGACTATTTGAAGGGAAAGGAACTGGTTGTGGAGTTTCACGCTGCAAGCTATGGAAATTTTGCTCTTGGCCATCAGATTCCGGGCTGGTCGGCCAACTATCAACGCCATGCCTGTGACTCTCCATTTCTGTAGAAAGTGATGAATCTTTCTTACTTTTCAGCTTTTAAAACATGGAAAAGAAGACCTTAATGTGATGAATATATCTTGTAAGTATTGCCGGCCGTATAGAAAGTTTTCTTGTGCTTATCGACAAGTTATTTGGAGTTCGGTGATTAATAGAGTTCAGGAAATAATTTTTCTTTGCTGGAGTCGCTTTCAATATGTCAAGACTTCTACTTGTTCCGAAAATTTGAAAGAAAACGGCCAAGACATCTGTTGGTTCATAGATAATACAAAGTAGCAAATATTTCAAATAGACATAAAATGTTATTCTAGATAAAATTTTACAGAATCAAATAAAAGAAATGATTTTGGATAGAAGATTGAAGGCTTATGAACCCAAAAAGCCTCATATATTTATATTTTTTCATATATATGTATATATAATTATATATAACTTCTTTAATCATAGAAAATTTTAAGATAAGAATTAGTAGTTTTAATAATAAGAAAAAAGATTTAATAGCCAAAAAAGGATTATCTACATTTTTTACTTTTGGATGGAAATTTGGATCATAATTTTGACTTTTCAAAATATAATAAGTTATACAACTTATTTATAAAAGCTAATATTGTCCTATTTGGTTCAAATATTTCATCATTACTATATTAAGAAATAAGATTGATGGATCATTATGCCAAGTTTTCTAAGAGCATGGATTATCTCACAGATATAATATTCATCCATATACTAAAATCAACCAAAATGATTATGACCTATATGATTGTGGCATCTTTAGTCAATGGATCATCTATCATGAGGAAGTTCTTTCAGTCAAGCAAGAGAGGAGAATTTCCGTGACATTTGCGACCAGAATGAGAATTGCTGGCTCGGCGAATGGAACTGACGGACGTGCGAAATCGGGAGGAAGGAGATCGGCTGTAACGTGGAGCGGATGGTGTGCGCTGATGTGAGCGGGGCTTCAGGCGGCTGGTCAGGCCGGAGGTGGAGGTAGGCTGGGATCCTCCGGCTGGGAGGTCAGGAGCGTCGGGCTGCCAGTGTCACAGGCCAAGAAGGCTAGACGTCAAGTTCTTGCGTGAAGACCTTGGGAAGCGGGAGGTCTGCGTGCATGATACATGCGCAGGAGTTTTGCGTTGGCAAACGCTGCAATGGCTTGGAGCACGGGAGCCTTGTTCTGAGCGGGCCAGAGCGGTTGGTACCGGAGGCAGATCGTGCGAGTGAAGTCGGACTCTGTACAGAAGACGTATTGAGGTCGGATAGCTGATCGAGTTGGTGCTGCACCAGTGTAAAACGAGATTCAATTCTTGATGTGGTGTGCGTGCTATTCGGTCAGGCTCACATCTTTAAAGAAGATATCAGATCTTCTTTGAGGTGGAGTCTTAGATTCAGGTGGAGTCCGGAAGACAGCTGCAGAGGCGGAGAGAGAGACTCTTGATCTTGAATTCGATCAAGGTGGAGAATTATAGGAGCATGTTGAAGCATCAAGAACCTCGTGGATGCAAGATGGTCGGAACTTGGGATTGGCGGGTGGATCGTGCGAAGTCGCATGTAGGAGTGTGCACGGGTTTCCAGGGCGATCTGTTGGATTGCAATAAGTTCGAGTTCTTGTGACGAGTGGTTCTTTGGTTTTTGTAAAACTAAATCAAGGTGGAGATTGTTATGAGTTGTTTTAGTTTTAGGCTTTTTTGCTCATGCATGTTATCACACTTTGGTAATGCTCTATAAATAGAGGCCTTGGGTTGATGTAAGAGTTGGAGAAAAATCTAGTCAAGCTAATTTGTATTTCCTCCCAAATTGCTGTCTCCCTCTCCTTCCCTCTCTCTCTCTCAAGAACATCTTCCAAGATCCTAACAATATATACATCATGGGAGATAGCCTCAGAAATCTCAACCTCCATAGTAGAAGTAGCAATCAAATTCTTATAGAATTCCTCCAAGATATAACTAAATCAACAAACATAAAGATATATCCATAGGTTAATTTATGGGAATCAAAATAGCCAGCAAAGTTAGAGTCAACGTAGCTAGTCACTTCCAAACTATCAATCTACCTATAAATAAGCATGTATTTCTTGGTACATTGAAGGTACCTCAACATCTTCTTTGCATCTTTCATGTGCTATTTACTTGGATTATTCTAATATCTTCCTATATCCCAACTACAAATGTTATGTCAAGTCTTATGTAAACTTATGCATACATCAAGCTACTACCAACAACTAAAACATATATAATGTTTCTCATTTCCTCCATCTCGAAGTCATTTTTTGAGCATTGATTTAAACTAAATTTGTCGCCCTCGCTAATGGGAGCTATGTTTGGTAAATAATCTTTCATTCTAAGGGGTTGTTTGATTTCATGAAAAAGGAATGCAATGTAAAATAAATATGGTGTGAAAGGAATACAATGCAAAATGAATACTTTTGAGTAGTTTGAATGAGTGTAAAAGGAATGTATGAGATTTTTATTTTTATTTAGTTTGAAGTAAAATGAATGCAATGTAAATTACAAAAATGATAATGGTCGTAGGTTAACTTGGCAACAATGTGGCCAACGGTGATGGTAATTCGGTAGTATGTGGTTGGTAGTGGTGGCTGGTGGTGTCTGGCGGCGGTTAGCCGTTGGCGATGGTGGTCGCTGGTGGGTTGCTGGGAGGTGGTGGGTGGCGGTTGACCGATGACAACAAGTGGTGGCCAGCGGTGGCTGCAAACAGTTGAACTCTATCTCTCAGTATCTTAATGCCGATAAGAAAATAAACCTTTGTCATAAAGCTTTGTCTTTGGTTGCAAATAAAATATTAATCTCTGTAAGACCGGCAATTAACCAATTTATCGAAACTATTTATAAATCGAACCATTGTAGCTGGAAGAAAATTTAAATTGACAATGTAAATTTATGACAAAAATCAATCAATAAAAGAATTAACATCAAAATTTAACAATTAGATAATATTAAATAATTATGAAAAATTAGCCCGACAAAATACCTGAATGAATTAAGACACACGGCACTCCGAATCGAAGCCATTGCATACATGATTACTTGCCGTAGGTTTGTTCAGTTAATTTATAAAAAATAAATCCGGTTTAATTTCTCAGCTTACTTATGTATTTTCTTTAATTTGGGAGTGCAGGCAGCATTGATTAAAAATATATATTATAATATTATGATATTAAAATAAAAAATTTTATTCAAAATTTTTTTTATAAAAACTAGAATATATTTAAACAAAATAAAAAGATAACATAAAAAATTTAAAGTAAATTTTAAACGTACCCCTTTTAATATGATATCAGTTTGAATCAATAAAATTTTATTATGTTCTATAAATTTTATTCGTGTAGTATCGCACTTACTCTTTATCATATTTTAAAAAGATATACTATAAATTATTAGAAATAAATTTTTATTAGAAAAATGAGACACATTAAGAGAAAATGACTCATATAACCGACCCCGCATAATAAGTTAAGAGAGATTATTATGTGTGGAGTCGGGACAAGAGAACTGTCAGATTTTTATGAGTGTACACAGTAAAAGCACAGTTGCTGTGAACACTCACAAAAACTGGATGTAGCATCGGTCCAGACCACACATAATAATCTCTCGTAATAAAAAGATTTCGATTGGGATGACTTTTTTACTGTTTCTTAAAACAACTTGTTAATACAAAAGTTTAAAAAAATAACAAAAAAAGTCGTCTCAAATGAAGTCAAAGATCGATTGTGATTATTATTTTAGCTGTTTAGTTAAGAAATCTAACAATTTATGAGAATAGGTAATACCCCGAAGGGGTTGTAAAGAACATTTATTACAGAGAAAAGAGATTTTGTCCTCTATCCCAACAATATGAAGGGATTTATCATAGAATACAATAAAGAACAAAACTCACATAAAAAAGCATAACGAAAAGATTAAAAAAAAAACTTCATGCATGGTAATTTTAAGGAGTGCATTAGCCCATGGATTTAAGTGAGTATAAATATGTATGTAGATGTGTGCCTTAATTATATTTGTGTGTTGAACATGTTGAGTTGCTTTAGGTCGATTCGAGAGAATAAAAATGATTGCTCAAGTTCAACTCGATTCAATAAATCAATCTATTATATTAGATTTTGATCGAATCGATGGGGTAATCCAAAGTAATCAAAATACACCCGAAAACTTTAGATCAACCAGGTTGAGCTAGGCAAAGTAAACTTACTTAGGCCTAAGCCAAAGCTAGAAATACACTTGGGTTGTGCCAGCTTTAGGTGTCTGACTGTTGTGCCTAAATCTGACTATTTATTGGGCTGGTTCAAATTCTGTTGAGCAAATCCCTTCATTATAGATTTTTTTTAATGAGATTTACAATTAGACATTCAAGATCGGTACACAACTCAACTTGATCTGTTGCTTGAGAGATTTGGCTACTAACTAAGAGGTCTTGGGTTCGAATCTAGCATGTTAGTGTGTGTGAGTTTGCCTTAATTGGCCATATGAAAATAAAATAAAAAAGGTATTATGGACCGATTGTGAATTTCAATAAATTTCCTAAACCATGCCCTAATTCATATTTCATCCTCTATGATTTTCCTACACCTCGCTCTTCAACCACGAATGGCATCTGAATTGTCACAGACTCAATCTCTGCAAGAAGCTTTGCAAATTGCAAGGCCATATATTTTCTTAGGAGATGCAGATTTTTGCCAAACAAGATGCTATTGCGGTTCTAGATGTGTGACTTAATTATATTTGTGTGTTGAACATGTTGAGTTGTTTTAGGTTCATTCGAGATAGAAAAGCAAACACAAATAAAAGCAATTTCATTATTCTCTTTATTGGCATGCACCACTGGTGTGAGGGTCGATTGGTTTCTTACATATAGAAAATACAATTAGATTATAGTACTTCAATTCACTGCCGTCCAACTACAATCCACCATCACCTAACTATGATGTTCTGACCACCTCCTCAAATTACAATCATTTAATCATTATTATTTGGCGACACCAATGACAATTGACTTCATCACTATTTTTGCAAACAATGTCATTGCAAGTCATTGCCTCTAACATTGAT